GTTATTTTCCTTAAATATTCCCCCATAGTGCATTGAATTTTAAACACAATTTAGAAAACTGGAGGTGGGTGCAACACTGTGCCTTGATGCAGGGCCTCATTTGCCACTGGCCCAGTGAGCAGCCTCTGATCCCTGCTGATCCCTCCTGGCTGTGTCCCATGGATGCTCCAATGCCTGCTCACTCCAGACCAGAAGCTTTTTCAGCCTGTTTTACAAATAAGTAAATAAATTTGAAATGTTAGTTTTTGTCTTACTGCAGGGACTTGCATACAGTGCCAGCCATGGGCATAAAAGTCATGCACTGGTTGCAAAAATAAGGCTGGAAAGTGAATGTTGTTTTCATTCTTTATCTATATACATGAATATTTATGTGTGTTATATGCACATACACATATAGACATGTGTATTTGTTTGTGCTGACACTTCAAAGCCTTTGGGCTCTGTCTGTTGCATTTGCCACGTGTTTCATTTGTTTCTTTTTCCTCAGGTACCAGAGTGCCTTCATGTTTAGGGATGGAACATTGTTCATGTGCCAGCAGTGGGGATTGAGGCCAGGCTTCTCCCTTCGTGCAGGGCAGGTTGTCACACAGGAACCAGGAAAAGGTAGGTTCTGTCCCTCCCTTCCTGTGGAGATCCCTGCAGAAGTCACTCTGCTCTGTAACCTCTTTCTGAAGACTGAAACACAGGTTTAAAAGCCAGGAGATTTCTGGGAAACTGCTTGTGAGTCAGGAGTACCCAGGGGATGAGAGTGGCTTTTCTTTGTATTCAGAATAAGCCATTTAAACTTTGAAATTTTCTCTCTTTCTCTAGAATGAAAGCCACTTTCTGTTTAAACATTTACAACCCTTTCAATGACATAACTTTGCTACACAGAAATGGGTCTGGATTACCAATGCTTGCAAATCCTGTAGTCTGTGTTTTCCATAAACCCTCAGAAACTCAGCTGTCCCCAGGGCTTTCTGCTGGAGAAATTTAACAGCCATGCTGCAAAATGGCAAGGTAAGCAGCCCAGCAGAAGATCCAGCAGCCAAAACTCTTATCTCAAGAGCCATTTCCTAGAGAATTGCATCAACTTCCCTCAGTCAATAATGAGTCTTATTTATAAATTCACATACAATACAGAAAGGAAATTTGTTGCACTGTTGTGGAGATCAAAGTTTCAATGTGCTTTTTTTGCCTCTTTCTCCTGTTTAGAGAACTGGAGTCAGTTTGCATGTGTCTGTGTCCCTCTTCTTATTGCTGAGCCCAGCATGCTTAATAGCCTTGAGTATTTTGTTAAAGCTGTTCCCAAAGATAAACATTTTGCAAAACTTCCCAGAATGCAAGTGTTCAACCTAATTTGCCCAGAGCAGCAGTGTTTGTTGGCAGGCTGCTCCTTCATAGGCAGGCTGAAGTTCCAATTCTCTACATCACAAATGAATATATAATGAGAAACTTTTTCCATGGTCAAGGGTGGAATCCCTGCCTCATTGAGGTCTGGGCAAACAAAACCTTTATTGATTTAGTTAGGTAACATTCAGAGGTTAATCACAATTCTCCTGCTCCTTAAATAAGAAACATTCAACCACTGAAAAAAAAAAAAAAATAGGAAGCAAATTAAATATAATAATGGAAATCCCCAAAATGCCTGAACACACTCAAGCACCTTTAAGAAGTGGATCATCAGCTTTTCAATGCTTGAGAAGCAGAGAGGAGATGGGTTTTGTACAAATGCAGAATTTGGTCTGCCTTTCCTTCCAGTTGTTTTGTGATGTGACCCAGTGCATGCGTTCCTCATCACCAGCTTGGCTGCAGCAGGTAAGTGCTTGGCTTCGTGTCAGGAGCACAGCTGCCAGCCAAGAATTTTCCTCTAAAAAGAAGATAAATTTTCAACAGGCAGGCTGGGATGCTTTGATCCAATATGACAGAAGAAGAAAGAGAAAGCATATAAATAAATATATATAGATATAGATATTATATATTTTTTAATATATATAGATATAAATACACACATATATATATACATATATAATATATACATATTTATTATATATATACACATATATATACATATATATTTATATATATATTTATAAATGTACACAAATTTTTATATATGTAGAATATATGTAAAATACATATATTTTATACATAGAATGTACACACACACATGTATATATATTTATTAATATATATGAATACATGAGTTGTTTAACAGACTACAAAACCCACCACACCACTGAGTCCTATGGGTGTTTTCTCAGCAAAGGCCTAATCAGGAGAGGAAACAGAAGTTTTTACCCCACCCACTCCAGCAGACTCTGCTAAAGGCATTTATCAGAATGTTTCTCAACCTCCTTGTGTTGGCAGCTTTAGGTTTTTGCAACTTTTTTTGGGTGATGGGTGATTATGGTGGTGCTGGGGTGGTGGCTGGACTAAGGGACTTTGAGGATCTCTTCCAACCTTGATGATTCTGGGATTCTCATTAAAATGGAATTATTTTCTTAGTTTTACAGTGTGGGATTGGGATGCTTTATTAGATCTTGGCAAATTTCAGACCTGACTCGCAGCAGATCGTTTTGGTGGTGGTGGTCCTGATTGGAGCTCACATTTGTCCAGTTCTGTTGCTGTCCCATAAATATTTCAGAAATGATCTCTCGAATGTATCTCAATTATCACTGGCAGAATTGAAATAAACAGTTCTTAGTGGCCCAAGAGCTTTCTAATCCAAGCTGAGTAAACAATCCCAAACCCAAACCATTTCTCTGAAGGCAAGTTTATTTTCTAAACAAGATTTCAACTGAAACCCTTCATTATTTAAACATATTAATTATAGGCCTCTGCTGCCAACAAAACAAAGCAGGCTCATTCCAAGCAATACCTGCTGTAATTTGGACTGAACTGCTGAAAACAGTTCTTAACAGTACAGTTCTAAACTTTGCAATAGTAAGCAAAGCAGAAATCTTAGCTGGAACCAAAATATTCATTATCTGAAGCCAATTTCTTCTGACTGCATTTATTAAAATCGATGCTTACACGTAGCTCTGGTTTGACTGAGTAACTTTTAACCTTCTTTAGACATCTTTTACTGTATCATGTAGTGAAAAATACAATGAATCCTTGACAAATGAAACTGGGCCTCTGTGGTACAAACATAGGGGACATACAAATGCAATTTAAAAAGAATTGCCTGTGAAAACTAAAAATTCATAAAAATTCAAGGACAAGATAAGCAAAATAAATAATAAAATATATCCATTTTTTATAATTCGCTCAGGACATCCCATTTCCTGCAATCACTTAAAAGAAACAAGCTTGCCATACTCTTTATTCAAAAATTATAGCTAGAAACTTAAACAAATAGAAACAAAGAAACAAACAAACCAGCAAAAACAACCTCCCAAATACAACAATTATATCTCAGACAAGTTCAGCTCATGACTACCATGGGGCCTGTTTATATCAGTTCATTTTGGCTGTGGTTTTTTGGTCCGGGTTTTTTTTTTTGGTTTTTTATTCTATGATGTTGCTGTTGTTTCAGGGTTCTTTTTTTATCTGAGATTTTTGCTGTGTCTGCACAGCACTGGCAGTTTTCTGTACGGGACAATGGTGGTCTTGTCTTTAGGGAATTTCTCTTCATTTAGGAAGCTTTATTAGCACAGAGCATCACTTGTTAGCTAAATTTAGAAAATTTGGGAGGGCCACAAAAATTGTGCAGACACAAACACTGTATTTCACTCTTAACACTTCTTAACACCACTTTTAACATCTCAACACTGGAAACAACTCATTTGAACACAAAACCTCAATGTTAAGAACGATTTGTTAACTTTTTCACAAGACATTTTGTTTCTGTCTGCTCAAGTATTGCTTAGACTTCCTGATTTCAAAACCTGGCCAGGAACTCAAATGGCCTTTCTGGAAAAGTTGCCCCAAAAGCACAGGGGTAACCACACTGCACGCTGCTGTTTTGTAGCCCATTTTTTATTTTCCTTTTGGAGACAGTGGGTGTGCTTTTACTACACTTTATTACCGTATTTTTGCCATATTTTGACTTTGTCGAGTGGTTGAGGTGCAGGGCTGGAGGGAGCACAGCCTGTTCTGTCAGTGCAGGGGCACTTGCCGTCTCACGGCTTCAAAAGCCTCCTCTGCTTTTATTTTTGTTTTTCTTTTGGAGAAAAACGGGTGTTTCAGCGCGTTTTCACCCCATTTTACCACATTTCGGCTTTGTTTTCACCCCATTTTAACCACATTTTGGCTTTGTTTAGTGCTGGAGGGAGCACAGCCTGTTGTTCGGTCAGTGTAGCAGCGCTCGCTGCCGCGCCACCTCCGCTTTTCAGCCCTTTCTAATTTTTCTTTTTGAGCGAGGCAGCACTCGCTGCCTCGCCACTTCTGCTTTTAAGACCTTTCTGTTTTTTCTTTTTATTGTTTTCTGCATTTTTACCACATTTTGTCATTGTTGAGTGCTGGAGGAGCAGGGCTGGAAGGAACAGAAGCTGTTGTTCGACAGCGTAGGAGCACTCGCGGCGGCGGAGGCGGCGAGACCGCGAGCGCTCCGTAAACAAAACGCTCCGTTTTGTTTACCCGGGCGGCGGGGCCTGGGTGGCGCAGGCGGTCTGAGCCTGCCCCCATCGCCACGACAGCGACCTTTCCGCCCCGCTCTCCCTCCCCTCCCGCCATCACCCGCCGTGAGGGGCGGCGGTGGGGGGGGAGTGCGGGGGGGCGAACGCGCCCATTTCCCTCACGCCGGGGCGGGGCCGGGCGCGCGGACCGCGCCATCGCCGGCGCAGCCAATGGGGCGCGGCCACCCCACGATTCAAACGGCGCGTCCCGGCCAATGGGCGCGCGGACCGCGCCATCGCCGGCGCAGCCAATGGGGCGCGGCCACCCCACGATTCAAACGGCGCGTCCCGGCCAATGGGCGCGCTTGGCGGGGCGGGCGAGGGGGCGGGGCCGTGCGCGCGGCCGTAACCGTCGCTCGGCGGGGCGGTTGTTCCCCTCAGCGGAGAGCGGCGCGCGCTCGGGCCCCGCTCCCGCCGCTCCGCGGAACCGCCTCCGGCCCGGCCCGGCGCGGGCGGGCTCCAGGTAACGGCAACGGCGGCGCGCGCGGGCCCGGATACCCCCAGCTCCCACCCCCTCCCCTCCCCCGCAGCGTTTCCTTGGCGGCTTTCCCGGCGGGAAGCGCTCCGGTTGATGGCCGCGGCCCGCGCTCGGGCCTCGCTGCCGGCGGGCAGACGAGCGCTGCGGGCGCCTCTCTCGGAGCACCGGAGGTTGGCGCGGCGGAGTCGAACAAAGCGGGGCCGCTCCGCCGCGCCGGGCTCCGAGCGGGAGTAGGCCGCTGAGGGGCGGTGCGGCCCGGCCCCTCCCTTCCCCCGCGGCGGAGGCGCCGCGCCAGGCCCGGGCCGCGGGCGGGGCGGGGCTGAGGGGCCGGGCCTGGGCGGCACGCGGGGCCTGACTGTCAACAGCGGCCGCCGCTCCCGGGCCCGCCCTGCCCGGCTCCCGGTCCTGCCGGGCTCCGGGTCCTGCCGCGGGGTTTCTGGTAGAAGGGCTCTTTGAAGGGAAGATCCGCGGTTCCCGGCCTCGGGGTTGATGCGTTGTTGTTTTTGCCTCGAGGCTTGTTGATGCTTGGTTTTAGTGGTGAGGTTAAGTTGGTTTGGACAGGGATAGGTGCCTCCACTGTTCTGAACGTGGAGAGAGTAATGGTGTTGCTAAAAAGGCCCTGCACAGCTCTCTGTGGTGAATTCATAACTTTCCGTGTGTTGTTAGCCTTGACTGTCGGCGTTTTCTGTATTTTCCTGCATTTCTTCTTGCATTCAGCTGGCTCCCTCCTCTGACATCCAGAACGTTACCTAACAGTGGTGAAATGTCAGAATTAGTAAATGGAATTACTGAACTTTTTTCTCCCACGAAGGAAAACTTGTTTATTGTTTATTTATTATTAAAACTGTGTGCCCAACTTTGCTGATCTCCCTGTGGCTACAAGGTAGCAGTCATCACTTTCTCCACACTGAAATATCTTCCCCACATCTCTAGTGAGAGAGTCATTAAGCAGACCAGAAATTCATGCATGGGGCAATAATGTTTCTCAGCCAAGTTTCTTTTTAATTATTTCATTCTTGTTTGAGTCAGCAGAAACTTTTGTTCTTTACCCACTTTCAAGCTCCGGGGAGATTTGCATTAATTGGCTTGGCTTGGTATAGGATACAAAGTCCTTTTGAGCCTTTCTCTTAGACTCTGGATTCCTGAAGGAAAATTGTAATGGTTGAGAAAACACAAGTTTCATCTCCTGAGTAAGTGGCTAAACTTGCTCTCAGGTGTCTGTGCAGTGCAGGGTTCATTGTATGAGATGATTTTCTTTGGATTTATGTTTTGAAGTCCTGGGAGTTCAAAAGTTTGTGCAGAGCTGCTGGGAATATCAGGCTGATGCCAGCTGATAGCATGAAAATCATCAGGGGTGTGTAGAGCTTGAAAGAGCAGTAAATTAAAAATGTAATCTTTAAACAGAATTTTTTTTAAAGACTTCCTGTGTTTTCTCTTCTGGATGCCAGTAATTGTGTGTGTTCATCTGAACAGATGAGGGCTGCCTTGAAAAGGTGCAGCTTTTGAAGTGGGATGTCAGGAATAAAGAAAAGGGTAACAAGTTACATTTGCTTATTTTAATGTTTAATATTTGAGCTCATTATTAAGCTGTGATATTTAAGGAAAAGAATTGAAAAATACATACATTTTCCCATTAATAAGATTTGAGTCAGAAGATATTTTCACTTGCTGATTTGTTATTTTGGGATCTCATATTGGCAGTATCTGCCTCAGGCTGAATTACATGACATGGATTTAGCTACAGGTCTTTCAACCACATTTTTCAATTTTTTAAAGCTAACTTTAACTCCTTTTGGGAGCAAAGTTGGAGGAAGGGAAAGTCTTTCTGCCTTTCACAGTAATTAAATCATCAAGTTAATTTTTCTTTGGACTTCATGTTTGCATGCAGAAGTGCTGGACTTTGAAATCTGGCAGAGAATTGCATTTTATTATCCTTATGAATTCAAATTCAGAAATTGTGTCTAAATTCTGGAGTGGTTGCTGTAAATTGGAAAAAAAAACAGTGTACATGTCCTCAGTGACAGCTTCATGATAAAATGTTACTCTCTTTGAGAAAAGATGTGTTTTGTACAGCTCTGTGTGAGTTCAGCTTCGTCCTGCTCAGGCTCCAGGGCTGCAGCTGTGCCTGAGGTGCTGCAGCTCAGGAGGAGAAGGAGTTGGCTGGGCTGTGGGAAGTGCAGCAAACAGAGGGGAAATGGAGTCGTGGTGACATCTGGGGACAGCTGTGAGTGCTCTCAGGCTGTTTGTGGGAGGGCAGGAAGGAGCTGTGGCTGCAGGAGGCTGGCAGAGAGCAGGGGCAGCTCTGGGCCTCCTGGGGAGCTGCCTGTGGGTGAGGGAACTGCACAGGGAGACAGGAATGGGGAGTGAGAGCAGAGTCAGGCTGAGGGGGCAAAGAGGAGCCAGGACTGGTTTGGTCAGAAAGAGCAGAAAAGGCAGAAAATCCACAAAGACTCCAAGATTGGGACCAAGGAGAGAATGGAGAACTTGAAATGAAAATATGGAGTTCATAAGAAGCAGGGCTATGAATTTGAAGGTGTTCAGCTGACTGGGATAAAAGAACATTGGAGGAGTGAGAATTCAGAAAGAATAAGACAGAAACAAGAAACTGGGACAGCAAACGCTTGTTAGAAGGCAGAAGAGCTGGAATAGCACAGGCCTGACAAGCACAGACTAGAACTCATCATTTTTCTGACTGGCAAGTGTCACTGAAACCAAATTATAAAGCTCTTTCCTTTTCTCCTTCAAGTATTATACAGCAGAGGAGATGGCCAGGTATTTCTGGTCTGAAGCAGTTTGGAGTATTAGTAATAAAATCCACATGAGGGAATTCTGCTGAATTTGTTTGATTTTTGACTTGGAGAGCTACACAGGTATAAAATTTATCAGCAGGTGTAAAATTTATCAGAAAATGCCAGAATGAATGTTGGTTGTAAAACCTCACTGAGCCCCATCCCCCAGTGAGGGATAAAGGTCTGTGATTGAATATTAACAGTATTTTTTCCCCAAGAATCTTAACTTTTCACTGCAGGTTAGTTAATATGTAATGATTTACTAGGTAAAGACTTGTATTGACCTTAGTTTGTGTGGTTTCACTTTCTTATCAAATTGATAAAGCAAACAAGTTAAAATTAAATACTTTGACACCAACATTTTGTGGTTTGTGTTTGTTCCCTGTCCTTGCCATCCCCTCTGAGTTCCTGTGGGGTTCCACGGGGTGCCAGTAGAAATGTTAGTGTGTATTTCACCTTGGTTATTTAGTGTATATTTATTTTATATTAATTATTTAGTGTATATTTCACCTTGGTTATTTAGTGTATATTTAATTTATATTAGTTATTTAGTGTATATTTCGCCTTGGTTATTTAGTGTATATTTTACCTTAGTTATGTTAGTGTGTATTTCACCTTGGTTATTTAGTGTATATTTATTTTATATTAATTATTTAGTGTATATTTCACCTTGGTTATTTAGTGTATATTTAATTTATATTAGTTATTTAGTGTATATTTCGCCTTGGTTATTTAGTGTATATTTTACCTTAGTTATGTTAGTGTGTATTTCACCTTGGTTATTTAATATATATTTATTTCACCTTAGTTATGTTAGTGTATATTTCACCTTAGTTATTTAGTGTGTATTTCACCTTAGTTATTTAGTGTATATTTATTTCACCTTAATTATTTAGTGTATATTTCACCTTGGTTATTTAGTGTATGTTTATTTTATATTAGTTATTTAGTGTATACTTCACCATAGTTATGTTAGTGTATATTTTACCTTTGTTATTTAGTGTATATTTATTTCACCGTAGTTATTTAGTGTGTATTTTACCATAGTTATGTTAGTGTATATTTCCCCTTAGTTACTTAGTATTTATTTACTTTACCTTAGTTATTTAGTGTATATTTCACCTTGATTATTTAGTATATATTTACTTTACCTTAGTTATTTAGTGTATATTTACTTTACCTTAGTTATTTAGCGTATATTTCACCTTGGTTATTTAATATATATTTATTTCACCTTAGTTATGTTAGTGTATATTTTACCTTAGTTATTTAGTGTATATTCACCTTAGTTATTTAGTGTATATTTATTTTACCTTAGTTATTTAGTGTATATTCACCTTAGTTATTTAGTATATATTTGTTTCACCTTAGTTATTTAGTATATATTTGTTTCACCTTAGTTATTTAGTGTATATTTACTTCACCTTAGTTACTTAGTGGATATTTCACCTTAGACTTTTAAGGTAGTCTCACTTGATACATTGAGATTAAAAGTATATTCTGCTTGGGGTATCTGTTTTCAGAAGGCAGTGACATAACACAGAGCACCATACAAACAGTTCTACAGGAGTTTACACTTGAAACAACTTCCTCTAAGTTGTAGTTGTGGTTTTTCCCAGCACCTTTTTTCCCAAGGGTAGTAGTCACTCACACCACGTTTTGTTAATATCAAATAAAAGCCTGATGGTGCAGTGGGGGATAGAATTTCATTTTTCAGGTTGCTGTGGGATTGCTCTGATGCTGAGCTTTGTTTTCCCACGGGGCCCTGGAAAAGGCATTGTGCCCTTTTGTTAAAGAGGTGGAAAATAAAAAATGTTCAACCCAGACAGGAGCTTAAATTCTGAAGTTTCCTAACTTTGGAGTGTTTGGCATAATAAATTGAAGGAGGACTGTAATGTGGCTGTAAGTGTTGAGTGATTGGGGATGTTTAATGGTTAGAAATCATCACTTGTGTAATTTCTGTAGAACCACAGGAAACAAGGATTAGAGCACACTTCAGTACCATGTAATTGCATTTCTCTCTACATTAGATGGGCTTCATTATGTAATTTTGGTCAAAGATGTGCATTGTAGTTCAATACTGGTTTAATACATCTGAATGTTTGTCCAGAATGGGCACCTTCAATCCTGTCTCTATTTTAAGACGCCACTGCTGTTTTCTTACCACACACCCTTTTCCCTATTTCAAGTGGAGACTTACCGAAAGTGTCCCCATTTCAGTGCCATGACCCAGGCAGAGAGGAGGGGAAGGTGAAGGCTGGTGTTTGGCTGCCATGTCACTGAGGGTTTGTTTTGCAGGCTCTGTGTGTGGAAGATGCCCAGCCGCAAGTTCGCTGATGGCGAGGTGGTGATGGGCCGCTGGCCGGGCAGCGTGCTGTACTACGAGGTGCAGGTGACCAGCTACGATGATGTGGCTCATCTCTACACTGTCAAGTACAAGGATGGAACTGAGCTTGCACTCAAGGAAAGTGATATAAGGGTGAGTGTGAAAATGGGTGTGTCATGATTGGCTTTCTGCAAATATTCAAATTCATATTATATGTGTTAGAAAGTTAGGTAGCTATGCCGTGTTATTTTTTTTAAGTAGTGCGTTCAATATAGTTTTACTTATCACATAATGTTAAAATAGAAACCATGTATGTGGGTTATTTTTTAAAGAAAGGAATGAGGTACTCTCACTGAGATAGCTGCCACAGGACACCTAAATCTTTCAGAGACAGAACTTATTGCTCCATTATCAGAAGAAACAAATTTCTTCCTGCCTTGCTCAGCCCTGAGGATGCCATCAGGAATCAGAGGAAGAAGCTGACACTGACCAGACAGAATCCTGTGTTTGAATGGAATTTGTGCACCATGGATGAGGTGTATGAATATGCAACAGGCTGTTGCTTTTAAGGGTTAATCCTCTGTTAACGGGGGTCCTTTTTCAGGCTTATTTTGCCCAGAAAGAGGTACTCAGACTGTCCATAACTTTATTTTTATTGTCTTGTATTGTCCTAAATCCAAATTGTCCAAATTATTATTACTCTAATTATATTACTATTTTTATAGTCATTTTATTACTATTAAACTTTTAAAAATTTAAAATAAGTGATTGGCATTTTTCACAGTGAGTACACGTGTATTTAATTTTCAATACTTCAGCTTAGGACTGGGTAGTTATTTTGCAAGTTTTTGTTAACTGTCTTCAAGGAATTGGTGCTAAATAAAAATTTCTTCCTATGTGACACCTCAAGTAGAAATTCAGAATGACCCCATCTTTAAAGTTTCATAGTTGTTTTGTTTATGTCAAAAAAGTATCATATTTTTGAGGAAAACCAAGTTTGATCCTTCAGGAATTCTATAGCATGGTTTTTCATAAAACCTAGTTTGTGTACCTTACAAAGGTAGTAATCAATGGGTTGATATTAATTTGATGGCTTTCCATCTCTAAATAAGAAAATTTGATAACAAATGTGAAGATGCAGTTAAATGTCACTAAATACAAACAGTGCATGCCCTTCAAGCTCATACTTAAAACTTCTGCAAAAGAGCTTCTACTAGTTCAGGTCCTCAAAGGCTTCATGAGGTATTTGTGACAATTGCAATCCCTTGGGAAAGGTTCATGTGTTATCAGCACATTCCTTCCTCTTTACTTATCTTTTATTTTTTGTTACTAATAAAGGCCTTTAAAACTTCACAGCCAGTTTAAAATAATTAATGCAGGAGGAAAAAACCCTGTGTGAATGTTCACTGTAGTTCATTTCTCTGGCCTGTTCTGAAACCTGCATGGGTTCAAAGCCAGTTTGTGTGCCTTTATGTGAGCTATAGTGTCACTTCTGGTGGCAGTCTCCATGCCCAGTCAGTGGCCTCTTGGGACCAAAATGTTTCTGCCTTGAGGTGGGCAGCTGTTTTCACTGTTTCAAGACTTTGATTTGTTGCTTCTGCATGCAGGTTAGCAGACCCAAACTGGGAAAATGCCTTTGATTATAAAAGTTGCATTGTGCAAACTTTACGTGGGGAAATCAGCATTGTAGCCTTCCCAGAGAAATCAAACAGTGCTTTTGGAGTAAAGGGCTTTTGTTTATGAAATTAGTTACCAGATATAATTAAATTATTAGGCTAACTTGGGTTTTTAGTGTTGATTTTAGTGTTGAGGCTGTGTTGCCTCACACAGATGATGACCCTTGCTATGTCAAATGCATTAATAAAGCTGAGCAGTGGAAGTGAGAGCAGCCACTGAGGGCTTGAGAGACAGCTCTGTATTCCTCTCCCTGTGCACAGGATTGAGAGGGTGGTGTGCTAAACAGCTTGGTGCTCACTTTGTAGCTTACATGCATAGCCTGATTTCTGCAGCTTCAACAGTTGGACTTGGAACAGGCTTCTTTGGGAATTGCCAGCAAAATGAGTATTCTGCAGTTGCTCTTTCTTACCAGCCTTTGTAGAGCACCAGTAGAGGAAATACCAGACAGATCTACAGAACCGTGCGCCAGAGTCCTCATCACAAACCCCCCCATGTTTCTAAAATTGTTCTTTGGGATGTGCTAAGCTGTTGCTTTCTTTCCATCTTTGTTCAGTCGCAGTCATCGTTCAAGCACAGGAAGAGCCAGTCCTCCTCGAGCTCTCCCTCCCGGAGGAGCAGCAGCCGCTCCCGCTCCCGCTCTCCCGGCCGGCCGGCCAAGGGCAGGCGTCGCTCTGCTTCCCAGAGCAGGGAGCACAAGGAGGACAAAAAGAAACCCAGCCAGGAGCCCAGCATAGCTCTGCCGGTATTTGTTCTGTTTGTTGGCTTTTTCTGTGGGGGTTTGCTGGATTTTTAGTTAAAGAAACTTTTGCTACTTGTGAAAGATTGGTTTTTTGCAGAGTGGGTTTATCATTGCAAAAGCCAGCTGCAGTTTATGTTCCCCAGACAGCATAATTACCTGCAAAAGTATATCTCAGAACTGCCTTTTTTTTCTTTAGAAATTGGGTTTCTAGCTTGCAAAGTTTGAGGAAGTTCTTGAGGCAAACCAAGGTTGTAAAGTTCCACTTCAATTTGGTGATACTGAGAACTTGGAATCCAAACAAACAAAATTTTTAAAATGTTTAATATTGAAGTAATTGTTTGCCATGTGCTTCCACTTGTGAAATGGGGCAATGGAAGTTAGCTTACTTTTGAGTCTGTTAATTGCTACATAGCAGGTAGGTATTAGGATTTGAAATAAAATGAGTTCTGTACCATATACAGGTTTGTGCAACAGTAGTGGAAAACACAGTGTGGAATATTTAAATATGGCATTGTGATGGATAATATTGCAAAACTGATTTCATTATAAAAACTAAATTGTAAGGATTTCTAAGTTTACCAGTATCTGGTGTTTAGCTGATATTTATTAGGTTTGTTCTTAGCATTTTTGTGAAGATTGCTACAAATGGTTCTGGTGATCTTTAATTGAAGAGGAGTAGAGGTGATGTTTCTCTATGAAAAGACAAACAGCACCTCTTGTGCCCTTGAGATGGTTTCTCACTTGTCTGAGACACAGTCCCTGGAACTGGAAATGCATTCTGCTGATCTATTGGGAATGAACAGGTTTTAGTTAGGTTCCAGCTAGGCTAAACCAGATTAATATGAACTAGCTAGGTAGGTTTAGTAAATGGGTACTCTTAGGCATTGAAATAGTTGTGGGGTTTGTTTTGCAGTGAGCTCCTTTGAGCTGTGTGATCCAGTGCCTGTGGATCACAATCTGGTTTAAAGTAGTTTTTTAGCCAGCAGCTGCTGTTTACTTTTAGTACTTTTTACCTTTTGGGATAAAAGGGTCAAAAATTCTTTGGTGGTTTTGTCCTGGTTTCTGTCTGAGGAGTAGGATTGATCTGTTGGTTCTTGTAAGACTGGAAGGACCAGCTTCTCTTCAACAAAACTTGAGTTGAAATAAAACATGTGAGTCATGTCTTCCCAGAACTGTGTAAGCTAGACTCACTGGAGAAGAATTTTTGAGAGAATTTATTTCTTCAAAGGTATTTTATAGAAATCCAAACTTCCAGTTCTGCAGAACAGTGCCATATATAGGACACTGAAAAAGCTTAAACTGTGTTTCTTGTTTTGACCAGAAACCGAGTGAGAATAACACCAAAAGGTACAATGGTGAGCCTGAAAGTACAGAGAAAAATGCCACATCCTGCATCATCTTGGAGGTAAGAACACAGAACTTGCTCTTAGCTTTTTGTCACACTGCTAGCTTGGCTCTCTCAGAAATTCCTAGAAAAGGGCAATACAGTAATCTATCAGAAATAAAAGGCAACATAAAACTTAGAGGTTGAGTAAGTTTGCTGCAGAGAAAGTGATTTTTAAATTGTCCTGCTTGTTATCTGGTGCCCAGGCACAGGGCAGAAGGGAAAGGGGAGGGTGGCAATGGAGGATCTGTGCTGGAACTGCTGCTGATCTGTGATCACAGCCTAACAGCTTACTGGGCTTGGTTTTAGCAGTCTCTTTGTATGAATGGGGAATTGTGTACTGGTGTTTTACAGTCCTCTGAAATATCAAATAAAGTAAAATCACTGGGAAACCTTTAATAAATTATTTTTATTCATTTACAGCAAAAGTTAAAACCAGACCTGGAAATGAAGCGTGTGCTCGAGCAGTACAGCTTGCGTCCGAGGAAGGATGACAAGAAAAAAGAAGAGATTTATTCAGAGAAAAAAACTTTTGTGGCTGTGAAACCAATTGAGAAAGTATCAACGAAAACAAAGGAGATGGAGTTTGGGGGAAGAGTTGGTACGTGTGCAAATTGTCTTAATAGTTGAAAATTGGTACTTTTTTGTGGGTTTTTACTTATTGACCATATTGTCATGTCAAGAGCTGCTTTTTGGACCTTGGCTGCAGAACTCAGAGTAAAATTGTTGTGTTTCACTTGATTTGGTGGCAAAGAACCTTTATTGCACTAGGTTCATGTGTGAAATACAGCAGAGATCTTGTGCCACCCCTTGCCACAGTGAGATTTAAGTACTTCTAAGTTAAATTTAGCAATTAACCAGCAAAGCTTTTACACACATAGGTGCTTGAAACTTGACAGTAAAGTATTTTTAGACAGTTTTTGGATTATTTTTGGAGGGATGCAGTGACCATGTATGGGAGTGAGAAGAATGTCTCAGTGTCCTGTTACATGACTATGGGATTGCTGCTGTCTTGTTCAGGAGAAAATAATGGCAACCTCTTCTTTGTTACTTAATATTAACCTTTTTTAGTGGGATTGAAACTATTTTTTAAATCTTCTGTACTTACCTTCTAACATGCCATGATGTCTGTTTACAGGGACCTTCATGCTGATGTTAGTCCTGCCTGCTACTGTATTCTACCTGCTGTTGATGTGCAAACAAGATGATCCAAGTCTTCTGAACTTCCCTCCTCTGCCAGCACTTGAGAGTCTTTGGGATTGGAGGGTGTTTGGTGTCATTCTCCTGTGGTTTTTCCTTCAAGCTGCATTTTACTTGCTGCCAATTGGAAAGGTAGGCTGGCTGGAAGGTGAGCTGTGTTCTAAATGCAGTGAATTTCAAAGCAATTTAATGAGTTTTTCTTAATAAACTGGAATAGAGCTTCTGCAGATTTCTGTAAGCTTAAAACAGCAAAGCTGGTTCAGAATTTTTGCATTTCAGAGCCTTCCATTAGAGAAGGCAGAAGGCATTTTATAGGCATTCAGATCAAAGTGTGGACAAACTTTGCTTGATAGAATTCTAGAAGAGTTTTAGGTGTCTGACTTTTAATTTCACAAACTATTTCAATACTCAGTTTCTTGTGGATATCCAACATTTTGGAATGCAATCTTCATTTACAGGCGTCTATAAACCTTTCTAGCCATATGTATGAATATCAGGTAAAGGCTCTCCATCCCTCTCTTGTGACTTGAGGGTTAGTGGCAGATTCTGAAAGGACACTCTGAAGTAGATCAGTCATGTTTTATTGCTGTACATGTTCACAATGACTGGAGAAGTTCTGCTTTCTTGGAGCTGCTTAAGAAGAGGTTTATTTTAAAAAATGTTTTTATTTGAAACTGCTAATCTTCATTTGCTATCCAGAGTATGTTTTTCAGAACAGTGCATGAGCTTCAGGTTTGAGTGTGTCCAGCCTGGTTGCTTTGACTGAATGCCTTTCTGACAGAGTTGAGCTTGCTTTTCCTCACCTGAAGGGCCCACAGAAAACACTTTGTTGAGCATTAATATTTTATTCTCCTCAGGTTGTAGAAGGCCTGCCTCTTTCCAGTGGAAGGAGACTGCAGTACCGGATAAATGGTGAGCATGGTGCAGCTGGTTATCCCAGAACTGATTCCATTGTGTGATTTGCAGAGCTCAGCACCATAAAACACAAATATTGAAAGATACAGTTTGACCAGACAATGTATCTCTTGTAAATCTTGGATAAAACAGGATGAGCCTTTTCTTGGAAAAAGGTGCTTAGTAATCATCAGGAACTAAGTGACCCAAAAGCAGGACATGACACTGTATGGAGTGGTAGTGAATTAGTTTTTTCATAGTCTGGTAAGATGCACCATTTAAAGCTGGAATAGGGCAGTAAGCAACAAACAAGGAGAATTGCATCCTGCAAAAGTGAGTCTCCTCGAGGCTTCTCATACCTGTCTTGGTTTTGGGCTTTTGTCTGTAGTTGTGCCATGCATTCTGGCAAAGGGAGGAAATAAGCTACATAATTTGGATTGTTAAAAAAGAAAAGCCATTGTCTTGGTGCTGCAAAGGCTAATTTTAAAAGCAAATTTAAAAGCCTTCTTGAGGAAAGGTGAGGACAGGAGGCACTGGGCACCAAGTGAAGCACAGGAGGTTCCAGCTGAGCTAGACCAGGTGAACTCTGGAGGTTCCTTCTAACCTCACCTCCTGTGAAGGGATCCATAGCAAGTCCTTAGCTGAGGGCAGCAGAGAGCTGCCTGCTCCTATTTGGGCATCAATCCATTCTGTGTGAAATTATACTCTTAATGTATGCAAAGGTGTTTGTGTTCAAGTTTTGCCTTCTTGATAAGTCATTTTAATACTTTAATTACTGCTATCTGTGTCAAGCTATATATGAAGATAATTCAAAGATGAGAATAAGATTGTCTCCGCTGTCTCACAGATGAGACTTTGTGACCTGCTCTCATTATCCATTAGTAGTGCCAGTGTCCATTTTTCCACTAAAATCTGAAATTGGATCCTATGGCATAAAAAATTGAGAAGTATTCAGTGTTCCTGCCTCTTGTCCTTTTGGTGAGCACAGCTTCAGGGCTTAGAGTCTCTAGGTTATATTGCTGTGCCCCAGAAGTGTGAACCATGGGATGTCCAAGGTGTTACTGGAATATGGACCAATATTGGAAGAAGTAAAAGTGCAGAAACATTGGATTAGGTCGGCCCTACTAAAATGATATATTTTTTTTTATTTTGACTAATATATCTTTCTTCTACATCCTTTAGGGTTTTATGCTTTTATTTTGACTGCTGCAGCCATTGGAGCTTTATTGTACTTTGAATTTGAGCTCCATTCCTTGTACGATCACCTGGTGCAGTTTGCAGTGGCAGCCGCAGCGTTTGCTCTGGCGCTGAGCGTTTACCTGTACGTGCGGTCCCTGAAGGCACCCGAGGAGGAGCTGGCACCAGGTGGAAATTCTGGTGAGTTAGAACATCCTGGGTGATTCCTTTCCAATTGTTTGCTATAGTTTCATTTCTAAAAATTACAGGCTGGATTTGGGGCTGGTTATTATAATACTGTGACTTTATTTTTGCTCTGTGAAGTATTGTTTGGTTTTTTTCCCCCACAAACTCAGTCCCAGATATGAAGTCAGGGCATGGTGTTTTCCTTCTTGTCCACCTTTTTTGATGGATGGGTCATTGTCACAGCTAAAGGGAATTATTTTTCCCAGACAAAAGCAACTAAATAGGAGAAAATGTAAAATTAATTAATGCCATATGATCATGTTCATAGACACTGTGATGTAAGTTTCAGGATAAGGCTGAAAATAAAGAAGCAACAAGTGTCAGGGAGAACTTCTAAAGTCGTTAGTCCTCCTAATTAATAAAAAATTAATATAGTCCTCCTAATTAATAAAAAAATTAGGGCATCTTAAAATACAAACTATGTAGCTTTTGTTTTGTAATTTGCACATACTCTTCAAATTTTTTTTTTTTGCCAATCTGAAGGCTTTTAAAAATTTGTAATGAGAGAACATTAGTGGAAAGTGGGATTTTATTTATGGGAAGGAGTGTAGTGGCAGATAAAAGCAAAAGTATTGCTAGCAGAGGTTGTGTCTTACCTGCAGGGTATTTTATTTATGGCAAGAGTATTGCTAACAGAGTTTTGTCTTACCTGCAGGGTATTTTATTTATGACTTTTTTACTGGACATGAACTAAACCCTCGTATTGGCAGCTTTGACCTCAAATACTTCTGTGAGCTGCGTCCAGGATTAATTGGCTGGGTGAGTCAGTAATCTGAGTTATTTTATTTCCTCAAACAGTACACTGAGGGATTTTTTTTTTACACACACACAGACACATATAATTGATATTAAGGATATTTATAAATACACATGAGTACTGAAAAACAGTGCCACATTGCTATTTTTTTAATGACTATTTTTATTTTTCCTTCACTTGAAGAAAATTTCTCGCTTAGTTTTGTGGCAAATAAAAAACCCTTTTTAAGGTATTCATGTGCTGAGGTTATACAGCTTCAAAATATGGTTAGTTGCAAACTTACTTGTAAAATAGTTTATTGTTTTTTTTAAACTAAACATTGGTATTAAAATGTCCTGTAGTGTAATAGAAAAGACTGCTTTCTTTTACAAGTGAACTTTTAAATGAAATCTTTTCTAACTTAGGTTGTTATAAACTTGGCAATGCTCTTGGCTGAGATGAAGATCCACAATCTGAGTGTGCCATCCCTGTCCATGATTCTCGTGAACAGCTTCCAGCTTCTCTATGTGGTGGATGCTCTTTGGAATGAGGCAAGTGCCAATCCCCTTCAACTGTGTCCATTTCTAATTGCAATGTTAAGGGAAGGAGGCCTTGGAAATGCTGAAATTCCTTCCTCTTTGTTTCTAGGAAGCTGTTTTGACTACAATGGACATTACCCATGATGGATTTGGATTCATGCTGGCCTTTGGAGACCTGGTGTGGGTTCCATTTGTCTACAGCCTGCAGGCCTTCTACTTAGTGGGTCACCCCATCACAATTTCTTGGCCTGTTGCCGCTGCAATTACTGTTCTGAACTGTAAGTTACAGTAAATGTCATTGTTGTGTTGGTTACAACGTAGTTCTGATTGTGTCTTCAGAGATGGGAGGTGAAGCTTTAGCTCAGATGCAGCAGTCATGGTCTGGCTCCTGTGAAATACAGAGAATATAATGAATTCTCATTTTAGCAAATGAGGGATAGGTGAGACTCTGAACACCTAATTGTTGTGTTGAGAAGCAGCTCTAGGTGGGTGCTGTCTGGAGTTGAAGAAGTGATTTAACATACTTTGAATTTAATAGATGCTTTTTTTAAGTCAATCTCAGTGACTCATTAAAAAAAACCTCAGTACCTTGTTGGCTACGCTGTGCTGAACCCAGGGAAAAAGTAACTATTGCACCTCCTTCCCTGATGGCCACAGGGACAAACACATGTCAGTAGAAAACATCTTTTTTCATCAAAGCTGAGTGCTTTGGCAAAAGATCTCACATCTTTAGGCAACCTTATATTTGCACCAACATGTGCTTGTTGTGCCTGTTATCTGAATAGAAACAATAAAAACCCACTCGAATTTTGTAGACATGACAAAGAATTGGAAAAAATGAGAAGATGTACAATTTAAAATGTGCAATACTGAAAAACAGAAAGTAATTTTTTCATTTTCACCTAATGTTTTTTTCTTGGGTTTCTGTTATTTAAAAAAATAATATCTTTATTCAAAGTATGTTGGGATCACCTTTTTTCAATGCAGCTTTGGAAAAAGAAGTTTAAGCTGCTGTGTGAAAATTATGGGGGATATGAATTCCAAGGCCAGATAATTCCTTGTCTGCTTCTTTTATTATCATGATCTTGTAAATGAGTTGTCAGTTTATGGAGTGGGTGCTGTAACAAAGTGCTAGGCTGCAAAATAGAGCTGTAATCATACAATGTGAAATTCACATCACCTTCTGTGAATTTCAAACTCAGTGTAACATTAAAAAACTCAGATATAGATGTGAAAATAAAAGTTCTTCAGAGTCTCTTCAAAGTTAGTCAGTAACAAGGATCTCATGGAATGCAGGTTTCCAGAGGCATTTCTGTCTTGTTAAAGCAGAAAATACCAGTTGAATCTCTGGGGAAAAGCCTTTGATGGAATAAGTGTGGCAAAGGGCATGTGAGTGCTTTTGCTGAAGCTGAGAAAACCAGAAAATGCTGAAAATATAAAATAGATGATGTTTATTTTCAACATGATGTTTATTTGCAGGTATTGGGTATTACATCTTCCGCAGCGCAAATTCTCAGAAGAACAATTTCCGACGGAATCCAGCAGACCCCAAACTGGCCAGTGAGTGCATTTCTTGTTCCTTTGGCTGGGGTTTTATTCACTGGCTCTTTGTGGTGTGTAAATCCATATTTCAGTCACTGCATTGACACAACGCTCTGTTCACAGATCTGAAGTTTATACCCACTGCAACTGGCAAAGGGCTCCTTGTCACGGGCTGGTGGGGTTTTGTTCGTCACCCCAACTACCTTGGTGACATCATCATGGCTCTGGCGTGGTCCCTACCCTGTGGTGAGTTCTGAGACTAAAGTGGATTTTAGCAAAAAGTCTTTTGTTTGTATCTGTCTGGGTTTGAAATGCCAGGTGGGAATTTTTTGGGATAGTAAATCCTATTGAATGGCAGATTTCTGTGTCATCAGTCTAATGCAACACATTTTAACTTTCATTTTACCCTTTCTAACTTGCTGCAGATTTGACATATACTAAAGATTTTACTCATCTCTCTGACACTTTATCATTCAGTAACGATTCAATAATCAATTACTTGCTAATTAACTGTTCTTTAAATTTTTTAGGCTAGTGAGTGTTTTCAGCTGAAGTTCCCCAAAAGTGGGAGTTTGCTTGGAGACAAGGGCCACCACATACAGGGAGGACTTGAAGTGAAAGATATTTAAAAGAAAGGTCATCAAACACAGTGAAATTATCTTTCAGAGTGTTTGTTAATAATACACAGAGGTGGACACAACACTCAGGAGGGCAGAGCAGTGGGTTAGAACCAGAACCTGCTGCTGCTGCTGATGCAGCCCAGAACACACTTGGCTTTTTGGGCTGCAGTCTCACACTTCTGGGTCCTTTCCAGTTCTTTTCACCCACAGGTGAAGTGGTGTGCTCTGAGCAAAGCTGGCTCATGTCTGCAGGCAAAATAGAGAAAACCTTGTGTGGGGCTCTTTGGTGGGGCAGAGATTTGACTGGAAATGTGGTTTTGATAACTAAAGAACTTTAAATGACAATGACACTTCAATATGTGCCAGCTTTGCAGGCATTGAGAGGGAAATTGGTAGATTTTGTGACTCTAAATGTCACCACGATATTTTCTGAAAAATCCCTTCACCAAGATTTCTTCTCCTGGGAAGCTGAGAAGCCTCAGAAAAGAATGAAAATAATTATCTGATTGCTTGGGAATGTGGTCTGGAGATCATTTACCAACAGGTGCAGCTTTGATTGGTTCCATGTGAATTGTTTTAACTCAATGACCAATCCCAGGCAGCTGTGTTGGACTCTGAGTCAGTCAGCAGCTTTCATTATCTTAATATATCTATATATTATAGATATATATATATATCTCTATATATTATAGATATTATATATAGACATATAAGATCTATATATTATAGATATTTCATTATCTATAATATATTCTTGTCTAGGCTTCTGATGAATCCTTTATAGTTTAGTATAGTTTTAGTATAGCATTTCTTATGGTGTGATGTGGTGTGGTATAATAATGTAGTCTAAATATAATATAGTCTAAATAAATATAATGTAGTCTAAATAATATAGTCTAATAATAGATCAGCCTTCTGAGAACTTGGAGTCAAATTCTCATCTCTCTCCTTGTCCTGGGAACCCTCACAGCCCCACATCTCAATTTTCAGAGTGACTTTCTGTGGGTGCGTGGGTCTTTCTCTCCCTGCATGTGTTGCGCTGTCCTGTTGAGTATTCAACGCTTCAGCCTTGAATGGATGCGTCACCGGCTTCGAACACGTTAGCAGCCCCCACCTCCAGATCTGTGTCCTGTTAATCTGAGTTCACTTTGTCCCCTTGCAGGTTTCAGCCACATCCTGCCCTATTTCTACGTGATCTATTTCATCTGCCTGCTGGTGCACCGGGAGGCGCGTGACGAGCACCACTGCAAGCAGAAGTACGGGCTGGCCTGGGAGCGCTACTGCCAGCGCGTGCCCTACCGCATCTTCCCCTACATCTACTGAGCACTCCAGGGCCTGCTGGGCACAGCCCTGCCACACCTACATCCCTTGCAGAGACAGATACCTCCTCCCTTTGCACTTGGGCAGTTGGTATTTAGGCTTGTAAAGAAAACAAAACAAAACCCCACCAAACGTTGGAGTGCGTCGAAGGTGTTGCTTACGGTAACTTCGAGGTGTGAGTTATGTGAACTGACTGTCTGTGACTTCAGTTTTAAAAAAAAAAATTGTGAATTTTCAAAACTCTTCGAGCCCTAATTTTTCAAGCTAAATTTTATCTAGAATTCTGAGTTTACATTTTTTATTGCATTTAATTAAGCACTGTGATGTAAAGTATATTATTTTCTTAATACAATAAATGCTGAAATTCCATCCAGTTCATTTTTTGGTGTTACTCGTACCATCTAACTTCAGATGTCCCATTTAGTTGCCTGAATTGGAGGAGCAGCAGGGTCTTTTTGGGCAGTGAGCTGGAAGCAGAGGATGTGAGGGGCCTGCAGCCCCCTGACCAGAGCTGGCACAGCTCAGCTTTACATGGTTGTTCCTCTCCTGGCTTTTCATTGATGGCATTTTTTTGGTCAGAGAGGCTCAGCTGGCCCCTCCTGCCCTGCACCTGCAGGAGGATAAAGAGATGGAGCTGGGAGAAGGGGCAGAGCTGTTCCCTTCTCCCTCCCCACGTTTTTGAGGCAGTTCCAGGAGTGCCCAGGGCAGCTCTGAGCCCTGGCTGGAGGTGGAGCCTGAAGGGAGGCTTCACTCCTGGAGGGAGATGAAACTCCTGAAACCCTTTCTGTGGCTGTGGAAGGGAGTACATGGGGTAAGAAGTGTGCAGTGTCTGCCTGTTAGGCACAAAAGGATAAAATGACCACAGCTGGCTCCTTCTGATCTTTGTAAATTAAGTCTTAATGTACCATAGTGTTTACCAAGTGTGTATAATAAAAGCCCCCACGTTTTTGCTGTACAGTGTTTGGGTTTGAAAAATGCAACAGCTTTTTTAGAAACAGGAGAAATCAGTAACTAAACCAATTTCCAGTAATTTTAAAAAAGTTAATTGAATAAAGGGTTTTGTAAATTAATGTAGTTAATTCTTGAAACAATTGAAGTGTTCATTTAAATATTTGTATTGACAGATATGCTATGAAAATATAGGAAATGCTCCTCAATCCAAAGTTGTTTTTTTGGTTTCTTTTTGTTTTTAATTTGGCATTGCTACCTCATATGTAGGTGTTGCCTTTTGTACTGTTGCAGATAGAGAAATAGCTATTTTTTTGCTATTGCTATTTAAAACAACATTTTTTTACATGAGCCTGTGGTTAAACTCAACCACTTTCTAATATATTTTTGTATATATTTGACTTTTTAACTAATGTATGTGTTCTGGTCACTAGCTGTGTTCTTTGTCTAACTGGCTGTAAATGATATGCCCTTGTGGTATTTACTTCATAAGTAGAATGATTTTACTGAAATACTCTTGCTTAATTAATTAATTAGCTTTTATTCTGTTGTCACAAGTAAGAGCTTTTCACACACTTTGTACATGAGGTTTATAGCACAAATTGCCCTAAAAAGCTTACTAGAATATTAAATGAAGTGCAGCTACTTCTGCACTTGCTTGCAGGAGTGTTCCTAATAAATTGGAATGTTATTTATCAATTTTTTCAGTTGTTTTAAAATGTTGATGTAATTGAAATCTAGCATGTGATTTTTAAAAAAAAAATAAAATAAAATAACCTATTTTGTACACGGGCATTTTTTAAAGATAATTGTACAATTGAAGTGTATATAATGTAGCTTGATTGTTGGTGTTGTAAGGAAATTGTTTGAAGACAAGTCCTTTGATTGCTGGCAGAAAATAGCAGTGCCTCTAACAAGACTCGGGAGAGTTCCCTCCTGTGCAGCAGCAGATGAAACTGGGATTTGCTGGGGAATTTCTGGGGAATGGAGAAATCATTCAAGAGCCCTGGAGTGCAGCTGGGTTTCAATCTGCTGAAGGAAGGGGGCACTGATTGCTCAGCCCTGGAGCAGGAGCTGCTCCTGCTGCTGTTCCCAGTTTTATTTGCTGCCCCCAGGGTTGTTCCGATGTCACTCAGAGCCCTTGTCTTCAGAACCTGGTCCTGACCAATGACAGCTTCCTTTACATGCTGAATTTTATGTGAATTTGATTTTGAAGTAACTGTTTTTAATACAAACGAGCCCATGAGCTAAAATAAAGGTTTTGCTTAAAACTAAGTAGTGCAATTTATTTTTTCCAATTCATGGGGATACCTGCTAAAAATGACATTGCTTTTCCTCATTTAAGTGTATTTCCTTATACAGGGGTGAGTTTGCTGGAGTTCCTGTTGTACCTGTGGTTGTGGGCTGGGGGCTACAAGCTCAACTGTGGTGCTTCTCTTTCTTCCCTTCTGCTACTCCAAAAACAATCTTAATTTCAGCTGTAAAAATACAGAATTAACACTCATTTTGCCTATAGGATAGTGTATTTTCCCCCACAGCCTCTATTAGGAGTAAAAAGCAAACCCAATCAGGCTCTATCTACATAAAGTGTTCCTGCACAGGAAATAAATGTAAGTTTGACCTAGCAGGCTGTAGTGGAAATATACAGGAACAGGAATGATAGTTCTGCTTACAGAAGGATATTTACCCATAGGTAATAAAAATGTTTGCTGAAATTACATTTAGCAGAGCTCATGAAAACTTTACCAGAGAAACAGTTCTTGCTGTGTGGGGAGTGAGAGCTGTTTGGGGGAGTAGGTGGAAAACCTTTCCTGTGTGTGGATGGAGAACATATTGCACTGTCTGTACAGAGCTGCTTTCTGCTGGGGAAGTTCCCTTAAATTAGAAGGAAATACTTTGATAGAGCTTTCACTCTTTTAATATTTAAAAAAGAAATCTTAACCGGTGAACTTTTTAACAAGTATTTTTCAAACATCTCTACCTTTTTGTGTGTACAAATATCTGCAATAGCGTTACTGAATGTCGCCAGAAATGCTTTGTGTCCCACCAACACTTTGTGGGAGTGGGGAAAGCTTTCGAAGGAAGAGCTGGAAGTTGGCCAAACTGGACTGGTGAATTTTTGGTGGTTTTTTTTTTGGTGAGAGAGAGAGAGTGTGTGTGTGTGTGTGTGTGTGTGTGTGTGTGTGTGTGTGTGTGTGTGGTTGTCATATTCCCATCATGTCAAATTCCCATCCATCTTCCTCCTCAGAACACGATCCTGTGTTGTTTCCAGTACTCTATATAATATATTATATAGAATATATATATAATTTCCCTTCTGTGCCTCGGGGTTGCTCCTCTGAGCAGGGATAGGGAATGCCAGGGCCAGGGATTCCAGCAAATCCTTTTCCAGCTCAACCAGTGCTGCACCTCACGCTGCAGACGCTGGGTGGAGCAGGTTCTTTACTCGCTGCTGCATCTCTGTGATCCCAGGAACAGCATCCTCCTTGCTGGGGCAGGAACATTTTTCCACGGCAACCATCGGTTCCCTGTCCTTTGCCTGAAGGATTGGGACAGGGCAGCAGCTCCCTGTGTCCTTGTGCTCTCCAATTCCCTCCTAACCCTTGGCTGAAGGAGGGAAAGATGCTCCTGTAGCCACATTTCTCTTCACAGAGAAAAGCAAGGCACAATTCTCCCCAAGAATATTTCTGAGTTTCACATTCTCTGAACCTCAGAGAAAGGAAAACCAATTGTTATCTCATTTCTGTGCCTGTGTTGTGCCAAAGTAAAATATAATACAAAAATTGTTTGCTCAGAGTGATGGTGTTTTGTTTCCTTGGCCTATCAGGGCCAAGTGTGTGTGTTGGGACTGGAGTCACACACAGTCACAAGTTCTGTGCAGTTGAGTGCCTGGCAGATTCAGTTTGTAATGTAATATAGTATAGAATAATATAGTACAATAAAATAATTAATTAGCCTTCCAATAAGATAGAGTCAGATGCATCATTCTCTCCCCCTCATTGCGGGTGACAATATCCACTGTGTGCTCCTGCTGAGGGACAGTGCCCTCCTGGGGACCTGTGGAATGCCAGTGGAAGTGCCTTGCACTGTGCACTCCACACAAGCTTTTCTGCCCTTCCTCTTGGAGCTTCTGACCTTCCTTATGTTGCCTTTATTCCCTGCTGGAGCTGGGTATCCCCAGGTTTAGTCAGCCTGACTCGGGCCCTTCTTGCTCCTGTGTTTCAAACTGCAAAAACTTTAATGTTAATGAACTGACCAGGCAGAGGATCCACCTAAAGCTTAAAATCAGATGAATTCCTGTGAAAAGAGCTGTAATAAATGGTGGGTCCTGAGGGACATAAGCAGAAATTAACACCCAGAGGAGGGGAAAAATGTTGAACTCAAAGCCACGTTCAAATTCAAACAATTTGCTTCAAAAAAACCCCTCATATTGTAACTATTAATGGAAAAGCCTTTCTGCTGGCAAGGCAGATGATGTAAAAAACCAAAGCAGAACTATCTCATGCTCTTTTCTGTGTGTAATTTTATAATCCTGTCAAGACTCTGAAAGCAAACTGATCCTGCAGACAGAAGGTGAGCACTGGAACCACACAGCAACTTCTGCATGTGTTTATATCTGCTTATCACAGCCTGCAGGGAATGGAACCTTGCCAGCCTGGGAATTCTCCATTCCCACCAAAATAAACATTGGAGAAGTTTCCTATGAGCAGCTGAGAGCTTATGGAAGTGTACAGTAAAAGAAATTAAAATCTTGTTAGCCAGCACTTGTGGAAGTCTGTGGTACAAATTTTGGGGGCTCCTTAGCAGCACATTTTGAGTTGAATTTCCACAGTAAAGAATCAGAGTTCCTGACCCATGGCCTGGTGGTTTTGTTCAGCCTGGTGAGAATTTATAACAAATAATCACAGCCCAACTGGTTGGTTGTGACACATCCCCCACCCCCTTCCTAAATCAAACAAAATCAAAATGAAACACGGAAAAATTTGTTGTGCAGTTCCTACAGGGCATTCCTGATCTTGCAATTTGCAGGGTTTGCTTGCTCCAAGTTAAAGAGGTAAGAAGAACAATTTTAATGTCTCCTGAGCTTCGGAAAAAATGCTGATCTTCCATCTCTGAACCTCAGGTAGAAACATTGTTATAATGAGGAAAAGACATTGTTATAATCAGACAAAAACATTGTTATAATGAGGTAAAGACATTGTTAAAATCAGACTAAAACACTGTTATAAAGGTATGTTCCCCCACGGACCTAAAGAAATACAGATATTTTTCTTAAACATCAAGAAAAAAATTATAATTCTCATTTTATTTTAATAGCAAACCCACACATTTCCATCTCACTCCTTACCTCCCTGCTTAACCATGTGTTTTTGTGTGCTCAGTTCCTTTGATGAAGTTGGTATTTTACAGAGCACTAGAAAACAACAATTACTCAGCATCCTCTCAATTTTTGTCAGCAATTAAAGCTGTAGTTTATTGCAAACCTCATTAACTTTGGAAGAAAGGGCCTGGTTTTATCACTTGAGCCACATTAGCTGTACCTTATGCAGCCCTGCACTTTTGGCTGCAGTTCTCCAATTGATATTTCATGGTCCAGACAATTTACAGCAATTTTTGCCTGTAATGAGCCATTATCTGAGCTGTAAAAATCTGCTAACCAAGCATCCTCTGTCTGAAATTGCTACCTGTACACAACTGTAGTGCAGAGTCCTGGTTTTCTAGAAGGCTCCAATAGCTTATACATGTGTAAAGTACATATTCTGTTGCATTATATTA